GGAGCGTGAGGGGGGCAAGCAGCCACCGGAGACCTGCCCCGGGGTGCTGGGGTAGGTGCTGGGGCTGCGGCCTATGGGGCCACCTGGAGACAAAGCTGCCAGGCTCCGCCTCCACCGTGGCCTGTCCCGTCCTGGGGCACCACACGGAGTCCCGGCTGCAGGTGGCCGCACCCAGGGCGCTGCCCCGGGGGAATGGCTGGAGGACCCCAGCCCCAGGAGCCTTTGCCCCGCCCCACCCCGCCCCTGCAGTGTCCCCGCTGCATCCAGAGCTGCCGGGCAGGCACCCCCTGCGGGCTCTGGAGGGTGGGGGAGGGGCTCGGCTTGACTCTGGGGGCACTGGGGAGCCATGGAGGGCTTGAGGCAGGGGAAGGCCACCGTCAGGACAGACGGCTTCCGCAACCCAGCCCCGCCCCTTCCCCCACCCGCGGCACATAGGGCAGGTGGGAGGCTCTTGTCCTTTAGACAGCCGGCCACGTCCAGTGGGGCTGACAGGTGGCTCCGGGGCCCGCAGTGGCCCTGCCTCCAACCACTCTTAGGAATGGCAAGAGCAGGCCACGTTCGCAGCCCACCTGTTTTCCCCACACTTAGGCCGCCCGACAAGAGCCGGGCAAGGGACTTCAGCCTCTGTCCGAGAGCTGAGCCGCCGCCAGTGGACACAATCACCCCAAACGCCTGGCCTGGCCCCCGGGCCCTGCTGCCCCTCCCTCAGAGCCTGGGGGCCTGCAAAGCCGGGGACCAGGGACAGAGGGGACCCCAGTTGAAACTCTGGCCTGGAACACATGCTTCCTTCTCCCCCGTGAGCCTCCCGTGCTGGGCGCCGTGCCGGCCCCTCCTCTGTGACGGGGGGACCTGCAGCCACCAACAGGTTTGTGGCCAGGAACAGACAGGGCGTCCCCACGTGGAGGCCTTGGCAGTTACCCCGGGGACGGAACCGCTGAGACCGGGACCCGGAGCCATGCCACCCACCCTCTGCAGGGCCACTGGCCACGCTGGCCAAGGCACACGCAAGGTGGGGCCGGCCCCCACAGAGATGCCACCAGTGTGACATGCAGCCCGGTCCCAAAGACACAAAAACAGACTTGCCGGAATCACCGCTTCGTGCTGGCTTCCCGGGAAGATGAGCGTATCTGGGTGAGTTGAGTTGGGTTACATCTGTTATTGAGACTAGTTCCAAACACCTAAGTGGACAAATAGGAGTGACTTTTATCAGGTGTCGGGAGGGTGGGAGGGGGGAGGAGGGGATGGGTGTATACAACCACAACACGTAAGATGTGCAACGTTTGGGGGATGGACACGCTTGAAGCTCTTACTCGAGGGGGAGGGGGGCATGGGCAATATAAGTAACCTTAACACTTGTACCCCCATAATACGCTAAAATTGAAAAAATAAATAAATAAATTTAAAAAAAAAAGAAAGAAAGAAACTAGTTCCACCTGTTTCTTTCTAGTCTTATGCGGCTGTTAGAAAACTCGAACTTTCCTTCGAAGCTCACGTACATTCCGGTCGTTGCAGTTGTTCCGGTTGTTGTGCCTGAGCCCCGGCAGTCTCAGGTGCAGGGGCAGCATGGCCGGAGGGAGAGGAGCAGGCTGGGGGCGCCCCACCACGGCGGGATGACGGCGCCGGGGAGGGGTGCGGCTGTGCGGGAGCCCCAGCCCCACCCTGCTCCGGGGCCCTGCCTTGACCTGGGCTTTGGGCCCCGCGCCCACCAGGCGCCCATCCGAGCCGGCTCCGTCCCCAGCTTCGCGCTGGACGGAAGGAAGGAGGGGGCGGGGGGCGGGGGGGTACTGGTCCCCCTGGCAGGGCCACCCCGGCCACCCTGCTGCCCCCAAGACCTGCAGCGCCCAGCCCTGCTGCCGCCCGGTCCAGCCAGCCGGAGAACAGGCGTGAGCAATGAGCACGTCCTTCCCACATGCCCACCGGCCTCCCTGGTTTCCACTCCCCCGGGTCCTGCCGTGTGCGCGTGTGTGTGCACGCGTGTGTGTGCACGCGTGTGTCTCTGTCTCCCCCTCCCCCTCCTCCTCCCCCTCTGCCCCCACCCGCTAATGGCGCTGCTGCTGGAGAGGGAGCCGGGCGCCCTGCTCCCAGCAACAAATCTCCCGTGTCATTCCCTGTCCTTTATTTACACCGGGCACACAGTAGCAATTCAATCTGAAAAAGCGCCGTGTTTTCGGAGGCGTGCGGCCAGAGAAATTGATGTTTGTGTTAATCAATCTTGTAGGAGCCCGCGGGGCGGGAGAGCTGTGAGGGGAGAGGTTTCTTCTATTGATTGATTGAGTTCCGGGCGGGCGGGCGGGATCGAGAGAACATCACACCCCGCCCCCGCCCAGAAGCTCTGCTGACGGGTCGGTCCCGCCGAGACCCTGCCCGGCCCCAGGTGCATGGGAGACGGGGTGGCTGGGGCCCCACAGCTCTCTCCACACCCCACGTCGAGCCTGCCGGGGCTCAGGCTCCTGGTTCCACGGCCGGGTCACCCCTCCGCTGCCTGGGAAGTCTGGGGACGGCCCCCCGGCTGCCCACCCAGGGGGGTCCGAGGCCTCCAGGGCCCCTGGGCCCCTGTCCTGAGATGACCCTGTGCAGCCCCGCGGTGGCGGCGTGTCCAAGGCTGGCCCTGGACGTGAGCAGCAGCGTGCAGCCTCTGCCCAGCACCTCCACCGAGACCTCGCCTGGGAGCCTCGCCCCTCCCACAGAGAGACGTGGGGAACGAGACTGCCGCACCCCAGCTGCGACAAGCCGGGTGGACGGGCGGGGCCTGCCCAGGCAGAGCTGGTTGGCCCCGACCCCTCTCCCAAGAGCCCAGGTGGTCGGCAGAGCTGGCCTCTCTCTGTTTCTCTGCAGTCCTGTGACGCAGGGCAGAAGCACTCAGCCGGGAGCGGGAAAAAGGGACTCCTGCCCTCCCCGGACTCTCGCTCGTCACTCGCCCTGGACTTCAAGCGCTTGGCCCCCAGCGCCCCCGCCCATGGAAGGGTCTGCAGAGAGACACCAGCGGGGCGGCCCAGGCGTGGTGCTGGAGAGCCGGTTCCAGGTACAGGGGCCCCGTCCTCGCCTGCCTCTGGGGCCCCAGCTGGGGAGGCACAGGCGTGGGTGAGCCCGGGTCCCGTCCGCCTCGGACACTCGTGCCTGCTGCGCCCCCTCCGGAAAGACGCGCCCAGCACACCAGAGAGCTGAGCACTGGGCGCCCGGGACCGGACCACGTGAAAGGACGTGGATTTTTAAGGAGTCCAAGGCTTTTTCCAAACTGCTAACTTGGGTGACTCTTGCCCCATTTCCTCGCACGCGTTCACACGGTCACACACGCACTCGCGGAACTTGTTGGCTTTCCAACAAACAAAACATAATCTCGGTTGCTGCACAGCATGTCCTGTTTAGGTTGACAAGAGCCAGCAGGGGTGACCCTGAACTGTCCCACCACGCCACGCACTTCCAGGAAGAGTTCGCCGGGGCCGCCCCGCAGCCCCAGCCAGGAAGCCCCGAGAGCGAAGAGACAGCCGACCCGCCCTGCCACGCGGCCGCCCACCACGGCCGGGGCAAGAGCCACCTCACCGCATAGGTTAAGAATAAATAGGCCGGCGCGGTGGCTCACGCCTGTAATCCTAGCACTCTGGGAGGCTGAGGCGGGCGGATTGCTCCAGGTCAGGAGTTCGAAACCAGCCTGAGCAAGAGCGAGACCCTGTCTCTACTATAAATAGAAAGAAATTAATTGGCCAACTAGAAATATATAGAAAAAATTAGCCGGGCATGGTGGCGTACACAGGGAGAAGCAGCAGCAAAGCACACGCCAGTGTGGACGTGGGTGGCTGTGGTTGGTAGAGTTGACCCCTTCCCCGACGTCCCTGTCCCTGTGTTTTGAGCAGTGACCCTGCTCCGCTGCTGTCATGACGACAGAGAACAAGAACATTGGCGTCTCCCCGCCTCGCTGCAGGAGCGCTGACCCCGCAGCCTGGGCCTCACGCTCACCTGGACGGGCGACACCTGACCCTGCTGCCTCCCAGGTGAAACTGGAGCCAGGCCTCGACCTGGCCCAAGGGCGGGCGCCCGGGCACCGTCCCGGCTCACTTACAGGCAGCGGCCCTTGAGGTCACCAGGGGACCCGGTCTCACCCTGTGAACTCCACGACCTCCCAGGCCCGGCGCGGGAACCTCGCGGCAGCCCACTCGGGGGCAGGGCCGGCCCCTCAGGAGACCCCAGGGGCACCCAGGGGCCCAGTGACCCCAAAGGACAGCTCCGGGGTCCTGGAGGCACGCAGCTGTCCCTGCTGAGCCCCTCCTTCAGCAGGGGACGCTGTCCTGCCTCAGTCCTGGCGGAGACAGAGCCAGGCTGGCTGGCCAGGGGTCCTCCCGGCCCTGTTCCTCCCGTCCGCGTCCGTCCCCCCCCACGCCCTGCCGTGGGCCTGAGACCCGCGGTGGACTGACGGCCCTGGAGGGGCAGCCGCCATGAGGAGCGGGCCGCAGGCTCGGTGTGGCCAGGGCAGCCCGGGCAGGGCCTTCGTGAGGGGAAAAGGCGGGAGCTGGGTGGGTGGCGATTCCCGGGAGGGTGGTCTGCGGTCAGGGTGAGGAGCGGCAGCCGCCAGGTGCCAGGGGAGCCCACCGGGCCATCGGGGAGGAGGCCTGGGGACAGGGGAGCGCCCTGCAGGGCCTCGGAGGCCAGGCGGGAACGGGGTTTGCTGAGCAATTTGAGGGGCTGCCAGCAAGTTTGGGCAGAAGCGCGACACACACTGGCCCGGCGGCCAGGTGGGCGGGGGACCGGGAAGACGTGCTGGGGCCTGGACACAGGGGGGGACCGGGTGCCGGAGCTGGAAGGAGGAGCCGGCAGGGTTGCTCTCCGTGGACGGGGCAGGCGCGACCCAGCAGGGTCCAGGAGGGGCCGGGGGCCTCGGGTGCAGGCGGGCGGGTGGGCAGTGGATGGGGGCCGAGGGACTCGCTGAGGTGGGGGTGCCCGGCGGGGTGGGGGCCGCCTCGGGGAGCAATGTGACCTCGCCCAGTGGGGAGTGGGGACAGCTGGAAAGAGCCTGCGGTCACCAGGGCCACGGACGGAGTGGGCAGCCTCTCGTGGGACGAGAAGGGGCCTCGCGGGGCAGAGGGGTTGGAGGGGCAGAGGGCAGGGCAGACGTGGGCAGGCAGCGAGGCCATGCCGAGACCATGGGCCCCGTGGGGGAGGGGAGCAGACGGGAGTGGAGGGGACTCGTGGCCGGATGCCGGACGGGTGCGGGCTCCAGGGACACGCCCTGGCGGGGGGCCGTCACAGAGGGGACACGGCAGGCCAGTCTCGCCCAACCTCGGGGCCTACCGCGGGCCTCAGCGTGAGGCCTTGGGGAGGACAGGAGTTGGGGCAGGGGTCTTGGGGCCGTGGCGGCTGGCAGACACCAGGCCCTGGCGTGTGTGGCCTGAACGCCGGGTGGCCGCGTGGTCTTGGGAGGAGCGAGGGCAGCGGGCAGCAGTGGCAGGGCCAGGTCCACGTGGGGCTAGTGGCTGGGACGGGCCCAGGACAAGGTCGGGGGTACAGGCCACCCAGGAGGGAAGGAGCACTCTAGAGGATGTCAGGATCACCAAAGACCTCCGGGAGTGACAGGGCCACCTCCTCAAGGCCGGGGTCAGGGGGACCTCCTGCCTGCCTAGGGAGGCGCCTCTGGGCTCCCCATGCCCCTCCGGCCTCTCCCTGTTCCTGGACTCATCCACCGGCTCATTCCCGCCCCAGGGCCTTTGCACGAGCTGGCCCCGGGGTCCGGAACTCCGCTTCCCCAGATCTTCGTGTAGCCAGCTCCTACCGGCCCTTCAGATCAAAGCCGCACTGTCGCCGCTTTGGAGAAGCTGTCCCAGAACTCCCAGCCAAAACCGGCTCCCAACTGCTTCCCGCCCTCTGTGTTTTCCTGATCTGACCCCCACGACCCCCCCAGCTCAGGTCAGACTCCCCAGAGCCACCGATGCCAGGCGCCCACTCACCTCCTCCTCCGCCCCAAGACCGGCCCGGGGCCCCGTCCAGGGCTTGCACACGCCCCTGGACCCCCGAGATGTGCGCTGGGCTCTGACCCCCCTGCAGCACTCGTCGCCCCCCCAGCCCACACCTCGGGCCCCTCCCCCGTGTCTCGCACAGCTGTGTGTGTGCTGGTGTCGCCCGGCCCGTGCGCACCCGGCTTCGCCCACTCCGGGCCTGGCCGTCAGGACGGGAGGGGTCGCCCGTTCTGCAGAGCAGGAGCCGCGAGGCGGGAGCGACCTGGGCTGGGCTCGGCGGCGCCGGGCCGGGGTGTTCAGTCCCCACGCGCAGCCCGCAGGAGCCGGCCGCAGGGCTGGGGGGACGGGTCCCTCGGGCCCACCCTGGCCACCGGCCTGGAAAGAAAGAAGAACAGGCAGACCAGAATCCCAGGGTTGCAGGGCCGAGCAGGGAGGACACCGACTCCCCGCTGAGCACAGGCAGCGCAGGGGTTACTCCAGGCCAAATAAATACGGGAATCGGGGTGGGGAGAAAGGAGCAAATGCCGCGGTATCGGCCGGCCCGGGCCTTGCAGGGGCCGGGGCAGCGCCAGGGCCTGTGTGCTGAAGACAGGGCCCACGGCAGGCCCTGGAGGGCCGAGGCACCCTGGGGAGGGCTGTGGCCCAGCGGCAGCACCCGCCTCCCCGGCCTTGCCTCCGCCCCTCACAGGCCCGGGACCAGGTGGCAGGGAGGAGACAGGAGTGCACCCGGCACTCCCAGGACCCACTCCCGCCGGCCTGCCCTCCAAAGAGCAGCACTTGTCAAAGTGCCAGTCCGTCCGCAGAGCCTTGGACCCTGGGGGGCTGTGGCCCTGCTGAGCCCCGAGCGGGCCTCCACTCTGAGCACACAGCGTCACCCGGAGGGACACACAGAGTTGGTGGCACCTGACGCTGCATCAGGTCTTTGGGGCCAGTCCCAGGAAGGTCCCGCTTCTCCAGCCCCAGCCTCCGGAGCCCCCGGCCCCTGCCAGGCCTCCCCTCGCTGGGGCCCTGCCCTGCCCGTGCGGCCTGTCTGGGCAGCCCCAGCCTCCCTCCCTTGGGAGGGCGCTGCCCCGCGGCCTGCCCCGTGCTCTGCCCAGGGAAGCCCTAACTGGGGGGGCTGCCCCCCCAGCACCCCCAGCCTGGGCCTCCGTTGCTGCCCCAAACCCTGCACTGGAGGCCACGGCAACTCGCTGGAAGGCAGGGCCCTGCTCCGGCCACCTGGCCCGCCCGGTGCCTCCCGCCCGGCCCGTCGGCCCTGGGTCTCTGCCTGCCGGCCGTGGGTGGCAGTGCCCACCTCCTGCAGCCCCCTCCCCTCACAGCAGGGTGCTCAGTCATCCATCCCCCTCCTGGAGCCCGCCGACCTCGGCCCAGGAGGACGGCACGTGGACAGACGCACGGCCCTGGGTCACGGCCCTCCTGCCTCTGCAGCCACAGGCTGGGCTCCTGGGCAGTCGGAGAAGTTGTCCCCTTGTCTGTCCCCAGCCCAGTCCACACACACACCCGCGGAAACGACCGACTGAGAGCGAACCACGGCAAGACCCCTCCTCCAGCTGCCTCCGGGGGCTACAAACACAGCCAGACAGTAGGGCAGCCTGAGAAGGTTCCGGAACAGCCGCGAACCAGCTCCTGGAGGGCGGATGACCTGCGTCTGAGTCCCGCCCGATCCCGCAGGCCCGAGGCGCTGTCCGTCCCTCCCGGGGCCCCAGGTGCTCGCAGGGCGCTGGTGCCGGGATATTTATATCCCGAGGAAGGGCAGCCCGGGGCTCGGCCGCACAGGGCTTCCGGCCTCTGGGCCGCGGGGGCCCGGGCAGCGCCACGGCGCTCTTGGAGGCCGGCCAGGTCAGGCCAGCTCGTCTCCGGCCCAACGCCGGCCCTGGGAACGCTCCCTCCCCCTCCCCCACCGCAGGTCCCTCCGTGGTCAGCGGTCACGTTATTAATAGAGGCCCCTGAGCCCCGGGCAGAGGCCCAGCACCCCGGGCGGCCGTCGCCTCCCCCAGAAGCGGAGAAAGGCGGCTCCTCGTGCAAACTCTGCGGAGAGGCTACGGCACCCCTCAGAGGGATCCGCCCTGGGGTGCCGGGTCTCCCTCCGTCCCCGCCCTGTCCCCAGGCCGCCAGCTCTGCGGAGCAGGAAGAAGGCGTGCTCCCAGGGTCCCACGTCCTCCTTCCCAAGACACGTCTGCCCCCCCCCACGGTGTCGGTTTCGGAGCAGCGCTTGCGGGCCGGAAGGAACCGCGCCAAGTGTCCACGCCGGGCGCCGCGCCCGTCCTCGGAGCGCCGGGACGTGAGAGGGAAGGTGTCTGCGCACACGGAAATGTCCTATTTTAAACCATCTGGGCCCTTCAGCACGCAGAAAAGTCTGGAAAGTTATTCACCACCAGGGCTCCCCTCCCCCTCCCTCCGTCCCTGCGCGTCCCACCGCGGGAGGATGGTGGAGACCTCGAGGCCCACGAGAGGCTCCCCGACGCCTTCCTCTGCACCCCCTCCCCCCGACCGCCCGCCCATGGGGAACGGAAAGCCCGCAGGTGAGGCAGGACCTGCAGGCACGGGCTCTGCAGTTGCCACCAGAGACCCGCAGGGACGCAGGGCTCTGGGCAAACGCACAGCGGCCGTGCGCGCGGCTGGGCAAGGGGGCTCTGTTTCGTGTGTTTCCCTCTTTCTCTGCTGTGATCTAGATGCTTCGGCAAGCGGGCAACATGTGTGCAAAGACGAGACCTTCTGTCAGGGCGCGGTGGCTCACGCCTGTGACCCTAGCACTCTGGGAGGCCGAGGCGGGAGGATCGCTCCAGGTCAGGAGTTCGAAACCAGCCTGAGCAAGAGCAAGACCCTGTCTCTACTATAAATAGAATGAAATTAATTTCTATTAAAGAAAATAGAAATAAATTAATTGATTAAAAAATAGAAAGAAATTAACTGATATATATAGAAAAAATGAGCCGGGCATGGTGGCGCGTGCCTGTAGTCCCAGCTACTCGGGAGGCTGAGGCAGGAGGATCGCTTGAGCCCAGGAGTTTGAGGTTGCTGTGAGCGAGGCTGACACCATGGCACTCACTCTAGCCCGGGTGACAGAGCGAGACTCAGTCTCAAAAAAAAAAAAAGGACGCGACCTTCTGAAAACGCGGACGCCAGACACGTCCGGGCTGCACCTGAGCTTCGGCGTGTCGGGGACCCCCAGGGACCCCACAAGTCCGATGCCTCGCACGGGCCCCTGCCCCAGGCACTGCCGGCGTCCCCAGGGTGTCTGGCCCTGCCCCCCACACACACCTGGGGTGTCCCCTCCCGGCAGCCTGTGAACCCGCCCCGTGCCCCGGTTTCTCACTCTGGAAAACGGGACCGTAACGGTGGCCTGGACAGAGCCCTCCCCAGCCCGAGGCGTGCACTCTGCGGCTCAGCGGCCAGTCCCTTCAGGGGGAGGAAACTGAGGCACAGAACCTTCCGGCAGTTTGCCAGGCCCACCGAGAAGCCAGACTGTGCTCGAAAGCGGCCAGCCCTGCACCGCCCGCCACCAGGCGCCCCTGCCCGGCTCCCGCCACCCTGAGCGGTGCCGCCCCGCCCCCTGGTGGACGCCGCTGGCATCGCCAGCACAGCACCCAAGAGAGGGTCCCCTGTGTTCCCTATTGGATGTTGGGGACACCCAGAACCCCAGCCCCCCACCTGCCTCTGTCCAAAGAGATCAAAGCAGGGAACCCACCAGCCAGGGTCAGCCCACCGCCCGCCCTGGGCCGGCAGGACAGGGACTGGCAGGCAGGGGCACCCACAGGCTGGGGCACCCACAGGCAGGGGCACCCACAGGCAGGGGCACCCACAGGCAGGGGGCACCCACAGGCAGGGGCACCCACAGGCAGGGGCACCCACAGGGGGGCACCCACAGGCAGGGGGCACCCACAGGCAGGGACACCCACCGACAGGGCACCCACAGGCAGGGGCACCCACAGGCAGGGGGCACCCACAGGCAGGGGCACCCACAGGCAGGGGCACCCACAGGCAGGGGGCACCCACAGGCCGGGGGCACCCACAGGCAGGGGGCACCCACAGGCAGGGACACCCACCGACAGGGACACCCACAGGCAGGGGCACCCACAGGCAGGGGGCACCCACAGACAGGGGCACCCATAGGCAGGGGGCACCCACAGGCAGGGGGCACCCACAGGCAGGGACACCCACAGGCAGGGGGCACCCACAGGCAGGGGGCACCCACAGGCAGGGACACCCACAGGCAGGGGGCACCCACAGGCAGGGGGCACCCACAGGCAGGGGCAGGCAGGGGCACCCACAGGCAGGGGCACCCACAGGCAGGGGGCACCCACAGGCAGGGGCACCCACAGGCAGGGGGCACCCACAGGCAGGGGCACCCACAGGCAGGGGCACCCACAGGCAGGGGCACCCACAGACAGGGGTACCCACAGGCAGGGGCACCCACAGGCAGGGGGCACCCACAGGCAGGGGCACCCACAGGCAGGGGGCACCCACAGACAGGGGCACCCACAGGCAGGGGGCACCCACAGGCAGGGGGCACCCACAGGCAGGGGGCACCCACAGGCAGGGGCAGGCAGGGGCACCCACAGGCAGGGGCACCCACAGGCCGCAGCCACTGGTTCCACAGGCTGCTGGTCTGGGCAGTGTGGCTGCTGTCAGCGTGGCCTTGAAGCTGAGCCTCCGGGCCCCAGCGTCCACGCTAGAAGACTCATGACGGCCCCAGGAGGGTCCCGGGTCACCAAGACTTTCCGGTCCAGGAGGCAGTGAGTCCTCAGGGCCCTTTGCTGTTCCTGGGAATGTCGCCCTCACTCCGCTGCTTTTCCCAGCTCCCAGCTGACAGCCTCCCAGGAGCCTCCTAGGAGCCAGGCGGGCGGATGTCTGGGGGCGAGAGATGGGCAGGGCGGGGCCGGGTCCCCAACCCCTGCCCCACCCCACCCCGGCGGCCCATAGACGCCGTCAGCAAGCCACGACCCCGGAGAATCCCCTACGGAGACTGAGCTCTCATCCCGCCACCAATCCCCTAATCCTGCAGGATCGTGTCGCCGGTTGTGAGACAGCATTTTCCCTGTGCTCCCACCTTGGATTTGTGGGCACCAAGAGCTTTGGGGTGCAAGAGAGCAGGCACCCTTGCGCCATCCACATGGGCTGGTTTGGGGGTGGGTGACCACCTTCGGGGCCCAAACTGGCCCGAGACCTTCCAGCTGAGCACGGATTCCTCGACAGTTTCCCGGGTCTAGAACAGCAGCTTCTTCGGAGATCTGGAAAATCCAGGCTCCCCAAAGCCACGTGAGCCCGGAAATGAGAGCACAGCAACCGTTATCGGAGGCTCTGCTCTCCGCCACCTGCGGTGAACAGCGGCCGCAAACAGGTGCAGCAAGACACGCTGCTGGAGAGAACCAATGCACGGGACTTCTACTGCAGTGCGTTGTTATTTTACTGGTTCTATTTTATTGCTATTGTTAGTCTCGTACCGTGCCTAATTTATGAATTAAACTTTATCACATTGTGTGTGTGTGTGTGTGTGTCGGTAAAAACACAGTGCTGGGTATACGGGGTTTGGTACCAGCCCTGGTTTCAGGCATCCACTGGGCGTCTCAGAATGTGCCCCCCAGGGGCAAGCCGGCTGCTGTGTTGTAATCAGGGCGAAGCGGCTTTCTGCTGTGAATAGTCTGCCGCCGCCTGAAGTCTTCCACTCCGAGCACGTTTGCTGAGCGCTCTCCGGGGCCTTCCAGGGGTGGACAGGGCTAGGGCCGGGTGTGCGGAGACGGTGGCTGGCCCCGCGGTGCCCGGCGTGAACACAGGTCTGGGGTGGGCCAAGGGAGGGCTAACCCCACCCAGCCCCCCTCTGCCCTGCCTTCCCCACCCCCAGCCTAGAGATCCCGCCCGCCAACACGGGTGTCCACATGACACTCGCCCCCACCCCCAACCGACCTCCTTTCCACAGCCGCCAACAGGCTTTTCTTAAAAAAGAAAAAGGAATTCTGCAATTTCGTTTAACACAGGATTTCCTAGTTTCCTTCCCTTCTCCCCGGGGGCATTTCAGGGGACGCCGGCTCACTGGGGTGCACTTCCGGCTTTGCCAGGATTGATGGAAGCCGCCCCCCCCCCTTACCAGGGTGGCCAAGTTTAGCAAATGAAAATGCGGGACCCTGGGTTAAACTTGAATCTCAGATAAGCAACAAGTAAGTTTTAGTGTAAGTGTGTCCTGCGAAATATGCCGGATATACTTACACTAAGACATTATTCTCGTTTGCCCGGGATTCCAATTTAACAGGTGTCACGTATTTTGCCTAGTGACCCTCCTGTGACACTTGAGGGGAAAGGCGCGCGCTGGCCGGGGCTTGGCCGGGGCTTGGCCGGGGCTGACAGGGAGCCCCATTGCCACCAGCCGGGAGTGGGGGCCGGGGTCCCAAACTTGCCGAGTGCCCTTGGGCTCAGTTTCTGTGCACTCAAAATGGGCAGGTCGGTGGGGCCACTGCACCTTCTCTTACTTTGGGAGCTTTCTCTGGTGTAAGCCTCCATTTCACGCAGGAGCCTCGAGGACGGCCGTGCGGAAAGAGACCTGCCGCCCAGGTAGTTACACTCCTGGTGACGGGGGGAGGGCCGGTGAACTCCCCCGAGGGTGACCACCCTGGTGCCCATCCAGGTCTGCACGCGCTGGGGAGGGAGCTGTGGCCCCCAGGTCCTCCCAACCGGGCCCTCCCACAGTGTGAAGACCTCCAGCCGTCTCCCCTCACCTGTGTCACCAACCCTAAGTCCCCCAATGACCTCCAACCGCCACCCAAAGCCACGAATACAGATTCCTGGGCCTGACTGCAGACCTAGATTCTGATGGGGGGGTGGAGAGGCAAGAATCTGCATTTTCACAGACACAGGTAGCTCTGATTCACCTTAAAGCCAGAGAGGCCTGGGCTGGAATCCCCAAGGAGCCAGCAGTCTCTGTATAACAAGCCCACAAACTTGCAGACCCAAGGGAAGGGCAAGGCCCCATGGGGCCTGGCCCGGCCCTGGGCAGAATGACCCGAGGCAGGGAGGACCCCAGGCTGCCTCTAACTGAGCCTCCCGTGCGCCCAGACCTGGGCCCAGGGGACCCGAGGGCGGCGGGCCCTGTGCAGAAGCCTCGGGCGGTGGGGCGCCCGGACTGCAGAGAGAGCTCCGACTCCAGCCCCGGCTGCTGTTTCCAATCCAGTTTTTGCCCAAAAGAGGTGTGAGCTTGTGCACAACCCCCTTGGCCTCTGTGTCTTCGGACATAAAAGGGGGTGCTGATGGCATCTTCCGGGGGAGCTGGGTGTTAGATGAGAGAACACGTGTGCAGGGGCCACCTGGGCCCGGGCTGTGCCGGTCGCTCCACAGCAGCCTCCGCCCTGCGTCCAGCACCTCCCGAGCCACACCGGCAGGCAGGCAGGAGGGATTTCTCCTAACCTCAGGAGGCCACTGTGACCCCGAAAATCAGGCCGAGTTTTGGCACTCTGCAGAGTTCTGGGCCTGGAACAGAAAGCACTAAGGCCAGGGAAGCTTGACCAGGACTGACAGGCCACGTCCCCGGACGGTGCAGGCTGGTGGCTGGGCTGGCAACGCCGGCAGGGCAGATGCTCGGGCCACCAGTGCCTGCTGACTGTCCCGGCTCCAGGGTGCGCTGGCCGCCTGCTGCCCACGGACACAGGGCACGCCGCTCCCCGCCCTCGGGCCCCTGACTCCCAGGGTCCTGGCTCCCCCAGGAGCTCCAGCCCTTTGCAGGCTGGGTGGTGGTGCATTCTTCCCTCCACCAAGCTCAGTTTTCTATCTGTGACTACC